TTACAATTTGCCAATGGAAGCTTTATACGTATTAGCTTTGTCCCAGGCCTCTAGATCTGAGTAAACCTTGTGCTGATGTAAACTGTTGTACAGTATTACTTGTTGTTTTGTCTATACACTGCACTGTAAATAATATACCACAGCTTACACAAAAGTCGGCTATCTGGGTCCGCCTCTCATTACCGCTCGCTCACTTCAGTGTGCGAACGTGTTCTAACAACTGATGCAAATTCATCAACATGGATGAAAGAGTTAGGTGGAGCCACATCTTTGTAATCACTAATCGGTGGCCCCAAGACGACAGGTACTGCCCCGCCTTTGTAAGAATTCCACCACAGCTTCTCTGTGATATAATCTTTAGCAACTGAATTCTCAAAGGCTAAATAGAAGTAGCACTGAGAGATTGCAGGTAAGAGTGCTTCATTAGAGAGGGCTGACCCTGACCACCTCCCATAAACCTTCACAGGAACTATGTCACGGAGCTCCTTGTACACTGCAGCTCTCTTTTGGTAGTTCTGGAAATTGCTGACCACCCAGCAAACCAGAGTGCTCTTATTCAGAGGGACATCTTCCTCCAGATGTCCTCCAGCCTCCTTTGGTAGCAGCTCACCATATGGTACTGTGATATCAACATCCCTCCTGTAGCCTATGGTTATGTTGAAGATATTGTGCTGCAAGTTTCCGTTGTGAGCAGGGGACTCCAAGGACAGCCAGGCCCATCTCTGGCCCTGTGGCCGTGGAAGATTTAAGGGCAGCTTCTGCTGGCCGTTTATCAGCTCTGTTGTGGAACACCACCACATCAGCTGAGGGGAACAAAAAGTGCTGGTCCACCAGTTTACAGCGAGGGATGCGGTAGAGGTCCCAGCACACGTCACTCTCCAGACTCACTGGCATGTTGAAGGGCCAGTACCACAGCAGTATGGTTAGATTTCTATTGCTCCTGCTGTCAGAAGTGGCAAAGGGATTTATGGTGGTCAGAGCCTGGAATCCTCTCAACCATATACTGAAAAGGCACAGCAGTAAAATACAGAGGAAGGAGAGGAGGAGGTATGTCTTCTTCGTCCCAAGTACAGTCATTTTAGTATTATCACACACCTGTCACAAAAGAGAATTATGAAATAGGATTATTAAGGAGCAATGAGACTTTTGTCTTTACCTTATGTTCAATGACCATATCAGGGATTTTTTATTTGCCTGTTTTATCCTAGTTATTGAAAAACATACAATATTTAAAACCACAAATGTCCATTTTTCAAACTATGGTGCTTTGCTCTACAAATCTGGATGTATTTTGTTCCTGTTCGATGTGTTGCTTAGTTTCTATTCATTTACAAATGTTAGAACTTACTGTTGTAAGGTAATGTGGAGCCGATTTTTAAAATCACTCTATGGACGCCCTGGTTTTTAATGCTTAAGGTTCTAATCAAGGACTGCAAACTTTCCAGAAATTGCTAATTGATTTTCA